GATGCATCCAGAGGATGAGAAGCATACGGCGTTTAGAACACCCCTCGGCGTCTTCTGCTATACGGTGATGCCTTTCGGTCTGAAGAATGCCGGTGCCACATACCAGCGAGCGATGACTAAGATTTTCCAAGAACATCTCAGGAAAACAGTCGAATGCTACGTTGATGATTTGGTTGTAAAAAGCCGCAATAAAGAAGATCACATCAAGGACTTGAAAACGATGTTCGATCTCATGAGGAGTCATCAATTGAAGATGAACCCCACTAAATCATTCCTTGGAATGTCCAGCGGAAAATTCCTGGGATTCGTCGTCACCACTAAAGGTATTCATATCGATCCCGATAAGGTGAAGGCGATACATGAACTGCAACCCCCGAGGAATCTGAGAGAACTCAGAGGATTGCAAGGGCGTTTAGCTTATATCCGGCGTTTCATCTCAAATCTTTCTGGGAAGTGCCAACCGTTCTCTAAGCTGAACAAGAAAGGAGTATCATTTATCTGGGATGATGCCTGCCAAAAAGCGTTCGAAGATATCAAAACATATCTGGCGAACCCTCCTGTTCTCGTTGCACCGAAATCTGGTAAACCGTTCCTGATTTATCTCAAGGCGATGAACCACTCGATAAGTGCCTTACTAGCGCAAGACGATGATAACGGTCACGAACAGGCAGTTTATTACCTAAGTCGGACCTTGGTAGGCGCAGAGTCTCGATATCCGATGATTGAGAAAGAATGCCTTGCATTGGTATTTGCGATGCAAAAGATGCGGCATTACCTAGTGGGACAGACGATCTACGTTATCTCCAACGTTAATCCAGTACGGGTGTTTATGACGCAACCGGCCTCTATGAATTGGCGATTAGCGAAATGGGCCCTTCTCTTATCCCAGTATGATCTGCACTTCAAACAGCAGAAGTCAATCAAAGGACAGGCGATTTGTGATCTTTTGGCGGCAAACCCGACCACAGATACGGCAGAAGTATATGATGACTTGCCGGATGAAACCCACGAGGTTAACACCACATCACACCAACAAGTATGGCAATTATACTTCGATGGTGCCTCAAGGGCAGTTAATAGAGTAATAACCCCAGGAGGTTTTACGGTTTCCTCTGGGGTTTGAGTTGTCTTAATCTCCCCGGGAAAACATGTGATGCCTCGGGCTTATTCATTGACTAGTCCATGCTCCACAACTAATGTAGCGAGTCATGCGCTTTCTCATTGGACTCAGTTTCGCCAGGCTGGGGGTCGAATATCTCGAAGCTTTTGGGGTTCGCATTGATTTGTCAACCAAGTTCGCGGTGAGTATGAGTCAGGAATCAAGACCTGACCCGTACCACCAGGAGCCATCAAAATGGCAGAATCTTTCGAAGATTCTTTATTGAATACATCCCTCGTCTCCAGAACGCTTATGCAGACGACTGGGGCACTAGCAGTATCAATCTGGCACCGCTCCGAAGCTGAGTGTAGTCACAGTATCGGACGCATCAACTCATGCGTACCCATATACAGTAAGGAGATTGAAGAAGAGAAGATAGAAACGTGAACTGCAAAGAGGTGAACTTCAACTCAAATTGGGTCTGAGTCCGCGAGATTTGGCGTTTTCCTACATAGACTAGTCAATATGGTATCTTGCAGAGGATGTAAAAAAGGAATTCAAATCCGCCGAAGAGCGCCAAGATTCTTTTAGTAATACGGACCCATCGTTATACCGTAGAGGGTACGACGGTCTTTACTCTGATGCTTTCGAACAGAGAAGAAAGAGTTCTTAAGGAATGCACAGGAAGGAGAATGTGGTGGCCATACAGCACGGCCTTAAACTGTATGATCGCATCAGAAGGATGGGGTAATATGGGCCACAATGGTTTTCGTGGACGCAATCGAGTAAGCACGACAGTGTCATGCTTGCAAATACAATGGCGAATTGATATGCATCAAGAACGCCAGAGCAGTTGCAACGGTCAACGCACCTTCATGGCGTTCGAGACTTGGGGTATGGAACATAGTCGCTCTATTTTTCCCGCCCTTCAGTCAAAGGGATCGTTCACTCTCTGCGATACAAGTTACTTTCTCAAGTGGCTGAAGCGATTCCACTCAGAGAAGTGAGACAACAAACGTCATTAATTCATCAAGCATCATGTCATCTACCGACACGGCGTGCCAAAGACGGATCATTTCATTGACAACGGTGCACAGTTCATAAGCATGCTTCGTCAGATTCTGGGCGACAAGTTAAAATTGAAGATGTTTCATTTTACAACACCGTTATTCCCGCCGCGAATGGATTAGCGGAGGCGTTTAACGAAGAAATCATTAAGATGCTTATCCAAGCTCGTGAAGACAATAACGAGACTGGTGACGATAAACTCGGTGAAGCGACTCGGGTTATCGCCACCATAACGCGAGCTACGGGAGCTACCCCGTATCTCTGTAACGGTGTAAAAGCTGTGCAACGCTTAGAAATTAGATTCCGTCT